CCTGTCTCGAAGCATCGCTAAAGATAGTGAAACTCCGAGAAGGATCGGGGATAGTCAACACAGGTGCTGTAGTCAATCTCCTCTTGAGCTCCTGAAAGCTCGCCTCACATCTGTCAGTCCATTCGAACTTCACAGACTTCCTCGTCAGCTGGGAAAGAGGGAGGGCAATCTTAGAGAAGCCCTCGATAAACCTGCGATAGTAACCAGCTAATCCGAGAAAACTGCGAACCTCGGACGGATTCCTCGGTGTCGACCAGTTCTGCACGGCTGAAACTTTAGAAGGATCCACCTCGATGCCTGTCTGGGTAATCACATGCCCCAGAAAAGATACTCGCTGAAGCCAGAACTCGCATTTGGAGAATTCGGCATACAACTTCTCTCGTCTGAGGGTTTCGAGAACCACCCTCAGATGCTCCTCATGCTCCTTCTGACTCTTCGAGTAGATGAGAATATCGTCAATAAATACAATAACGAACTGATCAAGGTATGGATGAAAGATACGGTTCATGAGATCCATGAATACTGCTGGCGCATTGCTGAGACCGAAAGGCATGACTACAAACTCGTAATGGCCGTAACGAGTCCTGAAAGCGGTCTTAGCGATGTCTGACTCCTTAATCTTCAGCTGATGGTAGCCTGATCGTAAATCAATCTTCGAAAATACACAGGCTCCTCTCAACTGATCGAATAAGTCGTCGATCCTGGGAAGCAGATATTTATTCTTGATCGTCAACCGGTTGAGATCCCGGTAGTCGATACACATGCGCATAGATCCGTCCTTCTTCTTAACAAAGAGAACGGGTGCTCCCCACGGTGACACGCTCGGTCGAATAAAACCGAGTCGTAATAGCTCCTGAATCTGAGTCTTAAGCTCCTGTAACTCCTTAGGCGCCATGCGATATGGGCTTTGGATACTGGACCGGCCCCTGGGATAAGATCAATATAAAACTCCACCTGACGGTTGGGCGGTCCTCTTGGAAGCTCGTCTGGAAATACGTCAACAAACTCGCGAACAATTGGAACATCATGAGGTGTCCGCGCTTTCTGAGAATCCTCAACAAGGCTTACTAGGTAACCCTGGCAGCGGCCTCGTCGTAATAACTTAGTGGCTTTCGCCATCGAAACCACCTGAGGCAGTGAACGGTTCTTGGAGCCGAAAAAAGTAATCGACTCGTCTCCCGGAAGATAGAGAGTGATCTCCCGGTCATGACACCTGATGTCAGCATGATAAAAGGATAGCCAATCCATCCCGAGAATAAGATCGAAATCCTTCATCTCGAGAACGAACGCGTCGGCAGTCAATACTCGACCACCGATAGAAAGGCTAAGATCTGAAGATTTAGCTGAGGTCATTATCTTTCGTCCCGAGGCTAAACTCACCTCGAGAGGATCGACAGCGGTAACAGCGTGAACTCCGATGGCGTCGAGACACCGTCGTGAAATAAAGGTATGCGTCGCTCCAGTATCGAATAACGCAAACACATGAATATCATTGAGAACAACCATCCCGGACATAGTACCTGGTTGCTGAGCTGCCTCCGCCTGATCGACTGCGTAGACTCTGGCCTGCTGCCTGCCCCTCTGCTGCTGCTGCTGCTGAGGCGGCCTCTGTGCCTGCTGACGTGGCTGCTGCTGTGGTGGCTGCTGCTGGAGTTTCTTCGGGCAACGACTCGCAAAGTGTCCCGGCTCCTGGCAAAAGTAACAGATGTCCTGTCCAGCACGACACTCTCCCCTGTGAAGTCGACCACAAGTCGGGCATGGTGGAATCTGTCTCTGTCGGGTCCTCCGGTCAGTCTGTGCACCCTTTGCCTTCCTCTTCTTCTCCTTTGCTGGCTGAGGGACTGGTAGAGCTGGTGGAACGGCAACTGGCTGAGCTGGGGCGGATGGCTGGGCACGATCACGAACTGCCTCCCTCCTGATACTAGCGTCCACCTCCTGAGCGATAGAAACGGCACGAGCGTACGTCTGAGTCCCGTGTCCCACGATGTTATGACGGACTGCTGGGTAAAGTCCGTCAATGAACCGCTGTTCGTTCCATTTTTGTTAGTGTTTTCGTGTTTATTTTATGTTTATTTCTCCCCACTCTAGGTATTTCTTTTTGGCTTTTGGTCCATTTTGAGTCTCGTCTTTCATTTCCCTTGTTTCGTTCGTTTTTGGTCTTTTTGTTTCTTTTCTCCGGTTTCTCCGTTCGTTTCTTGTTGGTGGTGTGCAGGTTGAATCGTTCGAGGAATAACCAAGCGTGGACTACTACATAGATGGATGAGTGGGGTCAAGTGGGAAAAGACGGAATCTAATCCCGAACCCAGATGCGTAGACTCGAGCCGGAAATCACAGCCGGATCACCGAAATCGCTCACCGCGTCCCGCGACGGTGTTCCCGCGACCGCGGTGAGCAAATCCTTCAAGTGCCCAGTTTTAGTCGCCGCGGCCCGCGACCTGTCCTTCGCCGCGGCCGCGGCGAACAAAGTGCCGCAGATTCCCTCCTCCAGCCTGAATTTGGTCGCGGCCTCGGACTCTATCGCGGCCCGCGGAAGTTTCTTCGCCGCGGCCCGCGAGATGCTCCGCGGGCCGCGAGGGCCGCGATTTCCAGAATTTTAAAGTTAGAATTTGGGATCGTTTTTCATTATGTTTGATATTAGGTTTTGTTCTCCCTAGTACGAAAAAAGTTCCAGAACTCATACTTTTCACTTTCTTGTCTTGGGATCAATTTTGAGCGTGGAAACTTGGAGTTTTGACTCTTGGATTTGGTTTTTCTATTGTTCTCGACATTGGATTCATTAATCGTAAGCTTTACTTTCGTTTTTCTTTCGATTGAGATGG